AAATGAGTAATGCAGTGGGAGGCTTAATTTGTGTCCCAAATACAAGAAAATGCCAAGAAATTCCTAGGTCCCATCAGCTGTGGCTTTTGTTTATGTTTATTTCAGACATATAGACTGGATAGATTTTTTTATGTGTATCTAGGATAGGAAAAGCAGAGTTAAATAGAAGTGAAGCCACATGTAATATCAAAGTAAAATTTGAAGCAAATCATCATAAATCAAGCAGTATTTTATGTAGAAGTTGTGCTTCAAGATTTTTTTTTGCAGAGTTAAGTAATAACCAAAACAGTGACACAAAGAATATGGCTGTAAAACACAGAGATAAATCTGCCATGTTTTACTTGGATATCACAAGGGCTTAGAAACATTAAGGGTGTTTTATATACCATATGTGCTTTATTGCTTAAACTGCAGAGAATTTGTACCTCCCTGAGGGACTCTTGCACTCTGTGGCAAAATGCTTGAAGAATTGTCTGGGTGTTTGTAGAAAGAACAGCAGCAACTCGTGGTGTGGCTGTGGGACAGCTTCACCACAGTGTGCACAGGATGCAGAGCTTGGCATTAAATTTCTACATGGCCTGTATGCAACAGACAACCTTGCTCCTGGAAATAAAATTGACTTTAGTAGTAGTTTTATTAGTAAGGGGTCCATAGTTTTTCTGGAAGGGTGGAAATAAAAATGGCCAGGCACTGTCCACAAACAGAGCAGCTCATGTGAAGAGCTCAGCTTATTTGGAAGGGATTATTTAACTCTTTTGTCACACTGTATGTAGATGAATCTGGGTTTCTTTTTGTGCTTGGAGCAAGTGATGAGGCTGGTGTTTACCCAGCTGAGCCAGTGGCACACATAAGTTTTGTGCTTGGGTGTTACAAAGAGAATTTGTTTACAGAATGTGTAGCTTAACAGTTCTGGAGCTGCAAGGGCCTCTGGAGCTAGAGAGGCAGTAAGGAATGTATTTATAAAATTATGCTTTTCTGTGTGTTGGGAATGTCAGCACTGTCCATTAAACACTGCATTTCCTTGCTTTGTGCTTTGCAGAAGGGAGGTGTTTCCCTGACGTTCCTCTTCAGCTGACCCCATGCTCCTCCAATATTTTAAAAGAGAACCTTTATGTTTGAACATAAGGGGACGTGCTTGAGGGTTTTAATTGGTGCCAAATTTTAGGGAAGGCCCCTAAAGAGAGGGAGATGTGCAGGGGGTGCAGCTGTGCACTGTGCTGGTTCAGTGCTGCTGCTGTGAAGGAGGTGACAGGAGGCCGTGCTGTCACAGCGTGGTGGGGACATTGCTGATGGCACAGCAGCTCCCTGAGGACCCAGCTGCTAATCTGGATTAAAAGTGCCAAAGCCAATACCTTGGGATGCACCTTAGAGTGAGCAGGGAGTCATTTATTAGTGTAGGAAGAGGTAACAATATCCCCCAGCAAGGCATGAGCCGTGTTTTTGCTGCAGATTTGATCTGGGATTTCTGGAGCAACAAAGGACCCAGGGATAGCTACAGCCTATAAAATCTCTCAATAATAGGATAGGATTTCTCTTCTCTCCATCCTCAAGGTATTAAAATGAAGAAATTAAGCTGCAATGACTGCTCATTAAATGCTGAGGGAGTGTGTTAATCTGATAAATGGGAAGATTGTTTTCAGGCAGAAGAGGATGAATTGAAATGAAGTGCAACTTTTGGGTTCACTGGAATTAATGCACCTAGGATCAACTGTTATTTCAGCCAGCTTTTTTTTACTGGCAGTTTCAATATTCTAAAAATGGTATTTCCTGCCTCCTCTCTGAACAAGATACCACACATGCTTGTAATTTAAATGTCACAGGCCCCATAACATGTGTGATCAATGGTATCTTGTATCATTTTCCTTTTACCCAAAGCATTTGGGTTACATTTATGTGGGTCCCATGGGGGACCTTTGCTTTTTGGAGGGAAAGCACATCTATCCTGAAGCCTGAATTTTAGTTTGATTTCAAGGAAAAACGTCCCAGTTCATAGGAAGGAATTTGGAGCATGGTTTAGGACAAAATAGAAATTGAAAGCATTATTTTATGGCTTTGTGCAGATGTAAAAGAATCAGAGAACAAGTGATGTAAAGCAGCATAAGACTGATTTTTTTTTTTTTTTTAATACTAGATGAGTGGTGCTATCCTTAACACACAAGAGGTTGCATTTCCTTGTATTAGCATGACATTATCCAATCAGCTTTTAAAAATCCATTTGGGCTTTTTTCCCCCATTCCTAGTAGTCATTTTTGGGGATCACTGAGCAACAGTAGGGGAACCACTATCTATTTCAACACTCGTTGCATGTGTGTTTTTGTTATCATCAGCATCTTTTTTTCTTTTAAAAAATTCCCAGGTAACTGCAACAGCAACAAGACCTGAAAGCTGCAGCCTCTGACAGGTACACTGAGGGCATTGTGACTGCAGAGGAAAGTGCTCTTTTCCACTTTTTTCCATCTGGGAAAGTGGTTTTCTTCATTGACACTTACTGACTGAAGTTAAATGTTTGGCAGGTGGAGTTCAAACATCTTTTTGTTTTGTAATGGGAAAAAAAACCCCCTGCCAAATAATCTGCAACATCGCATTTTAAAAAGGGAATAGTAACAGACCTTGGGGGAAAAAACCCCCCTGAACATCTGGGAATAATAAAGGACACTGAAAAATTCCATTTCTAACAAGAAAGGGAAACAGTCTGCAAATGTGTTCTTTATTGTAAACACCCGGTTTTATGATTTCTTTTCCAATAGTGCATCTCAGTGTTGTGTGATTTGCCCCTTGAGCATGGCTGTGGTCACACTGGAGGGTTGTGGCAGCATCCCCAGAGCCCCTCCACAGAGAAAGGCTTCTCTCCCATCCACATTGTGGTTTTTTTCCTCTCTCTGCCCATCCCTTATCTCTTGTAAAAGCCAGAGGAGTTTTTAATGGCAGCCTTTGAGGCTGTTTCCTTATGTTCTCTTGTCTACCAGGCTGCCCCAGTGTCCCAGCTGCTCCAGGAAAAAGCCACACCCCGAGCCAGCATCACATTAGCTGCTCTTAACAAATGAGGCTTTGAAAAAAGGGCTGAAAACTTTGAAACTTCAGCTCTAGAGATAATTAATGCTGAAAGAACCATGGTGGCAACCAGAGGAAGAGGAGGAGAAGGGTGTGATATGGGAGGAAAAAATGATGACCAAGTCAGAGACCAAATAGCTGTGATTTTTCTTTCCATTGCTGCGCTTTATGATGAAGTGATTGTGTGGGTGAAGGACACACTGGTAGTTGTGTGTGTCTGAGCTATGACAGTAATTTGTACTTGTTTGCTCCTTTTCTCTCTCTCTCCTTCTGTAAGTGGTGATTAGAGTGCTTATAAAATAACTAGCATAGTGCAAATATTTTTCTGAACAAAAAGGTCGAGAGTTCAAAACCTAATGAAGGGCCAGAGTCCCCCTCTGCTGAGAGCTCTCTGTTGGTCAGCCTCAGAGTAAGCAGATTGTGCCACAGTTTATGGCACTTTCTTACTGGCTACAAACTGCCCCAGAAATAATGGAGTAATGATAGAAATAGAGACTTGTAGCACAAGTTTCACTTGGCTGAACTGTAGCATGTCTAGAAGTGAACTGTTCTCTACGTGTTACAGATAAAGAATGGCTTTTATGGTTGTGTGATTCTGTAGTGCTGTGCAATTAAACAGCCTGACTGTGGCTCTCTGTGCATGAAGGGCAATAGCTCCAAGTCATCATTAGCTGACCTTAATTAACAGAGTAATGTACATGCAGGTGGTTTTTGTCTATGTGAACTCTGCCTTCCTTGTGCTTTCAGGCAAACGTGGATGTGTTCTGACAGAACAAGAGTAACTTTCTATCAAATGAGCCATGTTTATATGTGCCCCCCTGCTGTTTCATTGTACTCCATTCCTCCTCAGGCACTGGCAATTTTTTGCTTGCTCCCTCATCAGGCAGGAGCAGTGGGGAGGAAAAACTTTGGGGACAACATGCCCTGCATGAGGATGCAATGAGCATTTAAATTTCAGCACACAATTTAGAACCATGAAGGCAAGATTAATGATTTACTGGTTGCAGTCCTGCTCAGAGGACATCCAGCTGAGCCCTTTTACCAAAGACACTTTGTTTGATGAAGTGTAGTTTATTAATTGGTTTAAAGACCTGTCCTTTTTCCAGGCCACCAGCCAATTCAGTGCTTGGCAGATGTGAGTGCTGTTACTTGGCCTTGACTTGTGTTTCATCAGCATTTTGTCTGTGGTGGAGGCTTGCAGTCCACTCCTCAGCAGGAATGTACTGCTCATCCTTAGGGCTAACTTCTTGTTTAAAAGTTTAATGCCTTTCCAGTCTTTCCTTATAACGTGTCCAGTCTCCAAGAGTGTAAGCCTGGGTTGAAGGAACTGATGCAAAGGGATTCCTGCCCAGCTCTGACAGGCATCCAGGTTTTTGCCCTGATGACAGCAGCATGTGTACCTTTGCCATCAGCACTGAGTTGCTACAGCTTTTCATCAAAAAAATAATCCCTTCTCTCCCCCCTGATTCTATTTTTGGAAACAGCTACACCATTCTTAATAAAATGCTGGGAAGGAGGGGAAACCTTACCCAGAGCAGATGCCTGGTATGGAAAAATCTGTCCATATTTGAAATGATGCATAAGCTGTATAGTATTATGTTGTATATAATGAGGCTGAAAGTATTATTCAAGCAGTCCTGTACTGCTGTGGGGCATTCTGCTCTCTCTGATTGAGAGGCTCTGTACATCAGATGCTCTGAACAGCTTGTAGAGCTTAGAACTCCCTTCAATCCCCAGCCTGGGAGAGCAGTGGGGATTCACAGGCAGTTTATCAGTTTCTACACAGCTATCTCAGATTATACATGTAAAACAAAATACACTGGATTTGTGAACTGCTTGCAAATTTCAGCTTTGTGTGATTTGAGATTGATTTGAATCATGTTTGTTGTTTCTTCATAGATGGCTTGCGGGTGATGCGTTGTGCAAGCGCCTCAAGTTTTTCCTACAAGATGTGTTCCCCAAATCCAGCAAACTGGGTCACCTTTGATGACGAGCCTCTCTTCCAGTCACCTCAGAAATTGGTTGACAATCAGAGTAGCTCCAGACCAAATGGCCTTAAGCTCAACTTGTGCAGTGTTCATGAGTCCTCAAGTAGGTCATCCTCTACAGGCAGCACTCCGCTCTCATCTCCTGTGGTTGATTTCTACCTGAGTCCTGGACCCCCCAGCAACTCTCCACTTACTACACCTACCAGAGACTACCCAGGAAACCCCTGCTTTCCAAAGTCTGGGATTCACATGCTTTACCCCATCCCTGAATGGCCATCAAATGTTAACCCTTCTCCATCCCCTGGGATTTGCTCATCCCTGGCCTCACAGAAACCGAGCAGCCTTCCTTTGAGCCCCTCACCTAATGACCATCCAGGTAAGACTTTGGTCTCCAAATCAGCAGATGAAGGAAGTCCTAACCCACCAGGAAGCTGCGAGGAGCTAGCTCCAGGACACTTCCCGTACTTCCACAGTGACTGTGCTTTTTCCAGCCCTTTTTGGAAGGAAGGGTGCTCCCTCAGCATGTCTCCAGCTAATGCCAGCATGCACAGGAAGGACAAAGCGCTTGACAGGAGTGGGTGTCATCCTAGAAACAAAGAAACATGTCATGATCAGAAAAGCCTTAACCAGGGCTCCTTCAGTTACATCTGTGAGAGGCTTGAACACTTACAAGCTGACAGCTGTGAGGCCGTGGAAAACCCACCCATCTCCAGCACCCACGCATGGCACAAGCTCTCCCCTGCCATTCCACGCAGCCTTTTCAGGAGCCAGAAATCAGATGGGTGGCCATTCATGCTGAGGATTCCTGAGAAGAAGAACATGATGTCATCTCGGCAGTGGGGCCCCATTTACCTGAGCGTCCTGGCTGGAGGGGTGTTGCAGATGTATTACGAAAAGGGCCTGGAGAAACCTTTCAAGGAATTCCAGCTGCAGCCGCAGTGCAAGCTGTCCGAACCCAAACTGGAGAGCTACAATGTCTCAGGGAAAATCCACACTGTGAAGATCGAGTGCGTGTCTTACACGGAGAAGAGGAGGTACCACCCCAAAGTAGAGGTGATCCATGAGCCAGAGGTGGAGCAGATGTTGAAGCTGGGCACCACTGACTATGATGACTTCACCGATTTCCTCGCGGCGGTCGAGGAGGAGCTCATGAAGCTTCCTACTGTTTCCAGACAAAAGAGGAATTATGAAGAGCAAGAAATGACTCTGGAAATAGTGGATAACTTTTGGGGGAAAGTCACTAAGGCAGAAGGAAAACTCGTAGAAAGTGCAGTCATCACACACATTTACTGCCTGTGTTTTGTGAACGGTGGTGCTGAGTGTTTCCTAACCCTGAACGACCTGGAGCTCCAGAAGAGGGACGAGCGTTACTTTGAGAAGGAGCAGGACAAGAAGTGGATCGAGATTCTCGACTGCCATTTCCATAACTGTGTCAAAGCACAGGAATTTGAGCAGTCACGGATTATTAAGTTTACACCCCCGGACGCCTGCAGGCTGGAACTGATGCGTTTCAGGACACGCTACGATGGGCAAGACCTTCCCTTTTCTGTGAAGGCTGCAGTGGTGGTTCAGGGGGCATACATTGAACTTCAGGCTTTCATAAACATGGCCTCAACTGCTCACATCCCCACACGTTTACCCTCTGTGAAATACTGTGAAAATGTTATGATACGCTTTCCTGTTCCCACACAGTGGATCAAAGCACTTTGGACCATGAACCTGCAAAGGCAGAAGTCCCTAAAAGCCAAAATGAATAGGAGAGCATGCCTTGGGGCTTTGCACGAGGTTGAATCTGACCCCGTTATCCAAGTCTCGGTTGGAACAGCAAAATACGAGAGTGCCTACAGGGCCGTGGTGTGGAAGATTGACAGGCTTCCAGATAAAAATTCAAGTAAATAATTTGTGCTGTGGGCTTGGGTGTGTGCCTTCACTGGGTTTGTGCTTGTGTACCTCCATCAGCTGTCGTGGTTTGGGTTTTTATCTGTGGGATGCTGTTGGTAGAAGCCAGAATAATCTTTTAGGAAAAAAAAAAATCTTTTAGACATATCAATTTCTTTAAACCATGATTTCATAATTTATTTGATGGAGGCAGGTGTACTGTCAGTCGTTTTAAGTGTGTGGTATCATGGAAGCAGAGCTGATCATTCTGAGTGAACCTCAAGTCTGTAGCAGTAAGGCTGAGGGAAGGGTTTATGCTTCTTGTGTACCAGCTGGGCAATGGGTGGGATGGGAAGCAGAAGTTGGTAAAATTATTTATTAACCAAATATCACACAGCTAATAGAAAAGGTGGTATTGTCACTGCTGGGTCTTGGCTTTCTAGTATCATTTAAGAAAGGGTAGGTATGATGCAGAACTAGGAAGTGCTGTGCTTTTGCAAAGGCTGGTTTCTGTTACCTCTTCCATGGGTTTGTGCATTGAGATTGTACATTCATGGCAATAACTGCACTGACAAAAAATGCCTCCCACTTTATTCCCTTTTCTTTCTGGTGGTGGTACCTCACTGAAAACTTGGAGCAGTACAAACAGCTAGGTTTTTAATTGCACCTATGGAAGTAGTTAATTTAATTTAAAGGTGAAAATATGACTTTTTGAAGAAGAAAAAAATATAAATATTTGGGTTTACAATTCCAGTTTTTAGTTGTATTACCAGTACCTTTCTAAAGGCATATACTACTTTTCTAAAGGCATAAAAAGTCTTGAGGAATACAGTATCCTGCTTCAAGTTCTGCAGAGTTGAAGGCATTTGATCCCTTGCTTGATCCTTTGCATTATGTGTACCTGAGGCTTTGGGGATCTGTGTAAGACAAGGGCATCTGTTAAAGCATTTAATGTAAAATATCTGTAAAATCTGTACTTTTGAAAAAGGGGGTAAGTGTATGTTACTAACATATGGATTGTCCTGGTCCTGTATTATCCTGTCTGGGCTAACTGCCTCTTTAAAATGTCCAGAAAAGATTTTACCTTCTTAAGTCTCAGTTTCAGGCATTCTACTACTAAGCCAGGACTAATGGTGGGGGAAGAGCAATGACAGAGGGAGGGAAGTGAAGGGCATGGGCTGGGGAGACTGAAAAATGGACAGGGAGGGCAGAGGAGTGATGGAGAGATGTAGGAGAATGAGAAGGCAGAAGAAGATTCTCTGAGTCTTCAAAATCCCTGTCCTGTGCTCCAGGTTTCAGAGATTTGCACCATGTTGCTATGACCCCTGTGTTTTCCCAAGGCTTACGGAGTGTTTGGGTATTTTTTAGTCTCTTTGCTATTTAATGTAGGTTTCTGTAAAATCAAGTCAGCAGTTTAGGCAATTTTAAAGAAGATTCAAAATCTTACAAATTTCCTGCAGTTCTTTCACCTGAAGATTTGATGTGCACAATTAACTTCAGACTTAAGTTATTTGAAAGGAAGAACTGGGGTTTTTCTTTTTTTTTTTTGAGGCATTCCACAGCTCTACATTATTTTCCACCAGTAGCTTAAACTTCTGACATTTGAATAATTCCTTTAGCTGAGAGGATTCTGACATCTGCAGATTCTCAGATCTGCAGAATCATTTGTCTCCGTGAAATGTTCATACGTTTGAAAAAAAAGTTTTGGTAGTAATTCTGCCCAGTCAAATTTTAAACCTCTGTATCAAGTGCTCTGTACACAGTTAAGAGTTTAAAAATAGAGTTGTCCCAAGGCTTGCCAAAAGTCTGGAGACAGTCAAACTAATAGAAATATGTAAACTTTCATAATGTGTTTACCGCCGGCGGAAAAATATGCTGAGGACTTTGCTTTCAGAAAGTCTTTGTCCAAGGCTTCTTAAAATAAAATTAAAAAAAAAAAGAAGGGAAAAGGAAAGGTTGCTTACATTTATATTGTGGCTCCATTTATGGACATTGAAATATGTTAATATCCACTGGATTCTACTGAAGTGTTTTCTTGGAAAAGCGCTGGCCAAGTGAAGTCAGTAGGAGCTGCAAGAAACTCCAGACTTTTAAAAGCTGCCTGTGCCTATTCAGATACATAGATATTATATTTGGAGTCAGAATTTTAGCATTATTTTTAAAAAAAGGAAAAAAAGGAAAAAAGCTTTGAAGGGCTGATCCAGTGAAATTTCTGCAAATTGAGTCTATGTTTGTGAAACTGGGGCTTAGTGTAAGGAATTGCAGAACATGTTATGATTTTAGCACAGTACTGGGGCCAGACTTTGCAGTGGAGAAGCTGTGTCAGCTGCTTCCCAGGGAGTTCCCAGGGAGCAAGGGAGAGACTAAACTGCAAAGCACTGTGCTTTAATCACTTGCTGTGTAAATTTGAGCCCTGTGATTTTTCCTGCTAGGAAAAATCCTCCATCCTTGAGCCATTGTGTAAAGCGACAGTTCTTCAGCTGATTATTTCATATTTCATTCTGCATCATGGAGCCACTGAGGAAGCAGGTACTAAACAAGACAGCGGATTGGAGCTTGGGGAGGTTGTGGCTGCTGGCAGCCTTGTTACAGCATCTGTGCATGGACTCTGCTGTGGGAGGTGATGTGGTTCCCAGGAACCGCCAGCTGCTGCTCTTCTTATTTTCTAAACTGCCCAGGTGGAAACTCAAAGCCATGGCTTTGTCAGGTGGGCTCCATCCCTGCCCAGACACCTCCTTCTGGCACTGGCACCACAGTGAGCTGGTGCTTGGTGGTGGTACTGTCCCACTCCTCCATTCCCTAAGCACTTCTCCCAGCAGGTTGGAGAAATGTTCCCATTTAGAGATTGCTGCAGGAGTTACTAACTTCTAACAACCCTAATGTCTGTAAATCTGTCCTTAGTAATTGTTTATGTTTTTATGTTCAAAGAGTTTTAGAACTGGACCTATTTTGGCAAAACTAGAATTATTACATACCTAAGATAACCCCAGTACATTATTTTGGCTGAAATTGCTTTGCTTCATAAGCCTTTATCAGATCAAGGTTGTTTGAATGCTACTTACACAGGTGAAAAAGGGCAAAACTGTGTTAATAAATGCAAAGTTAGATTATTAATTGCTTTTGAAATGCTTTTTGAATTCTAAATGATATTTGGAATCTAGTTTAATAGTTCTACTGATCTTTTGTTTGTTTGTTTTGGCTTTTTCATTGGTATTCCTTGGAGACAGAGAGCAAGGGTTTGGAATACTTTTAAGAAACGAGAGCCAGATTTTCAGATTAGGGCAGACTAAAATCGCTCAATTCACAGAACTCTTAACAAGTTGCAAAGACACCTAAACTGCAGGGTTTCTGTCTCATAAATTAGATAGTAAAAGCTCAGTGATCTCCCTAGATTTTTCTGGTTGCCTCTCAGGAGTGGTTTGATTTCATCAGTCCAGGTGCTCATGTGTTGACAGTGCCTGATGGGCCACATTTTGGATAGCTGGGCTTGACTGTGTCATCTTGAATATGTTAGGGCTCTGAATATGTCTGTCACCTTAGCACACTGTGCCTGCTCCAACCCACCTGTCTTTCTACAGCACCAGCTTTTCTCTCCTCCTGGCCAACACCTGGCTTTTTCAGCATAGCAGTTTCTTTTGCAAAAGGATCTTCTACACACAGCCTCTCTTTCTTCTTCTAACTCCAGTGTGACACAAGGCCTGGGAAGGAGTGGTTTCATGGAGCAGAGATGTAAAGAACTTCTCAGTTTTAGATGAAAACTGGGGGGATGTTCAGAGTCTTCCAAAATGCTGGTCAGTCACTTTGTCGTCTGACAGCCGATGGGAAGAAGTTGCTCTGTGCTCCTAGCACAGCCCAGCAGTGGCAGAACTTCTCCACAAGTGAAGGGGTGAGTACTTCCCTTTGACATTGGTGTTGGTACAAGTGACAGATGGGCTGGGGGAACCCTGTGGTTTAGGAATAGGCAAAAAGGTCCAATGGAATCTGCTCCAGAGGACCCAAGGCATTGTCCTTATCCAAATCCCAAACCTGTTGTCTCTGCCTTTGCAGGTTGCCATCTAAGGAAAAGGAAGCAGCCCAGAATTCACTGCATCCCAACACCAAGAGCACCTCATGGCTGTCAGTCAGCTGGAATATAAATCCAGGGGTTTCTCTGGATAATCCTGAATCACAACTCTGCCATGTCTAGCAGGGTAACTAACCTTCAGCAACAGCCCAAGAGGTATCCAGGCTCATCTGTGCCTGGACTCAAAGGGACATCTGTTATCCAACATTTACCATCCAATATCTGCCCAGGAAAATTCCAAGCCGTGATTATTTCTGGATTCCATTTCTCAGAAGACAGAATAATTTGCTAGACAATTCCCATTGCTATTTGTTTCTTCATAAGCCTCCCCCTCCAAAAACCCAAAGAAGATTCTGAATTTGATCTCCAAAAGCCCTTAGATGTATCCTGGTTGTCTTCTACCACAAATTAACTACAAGCAGCAAACCCTTTTTCCTCAGATTAATCACAGCCCCAGAGGGCTTGACCTTTTCCCTGGCCAGGACATGCCATGCCATCGTGGTGCTGCCATTCCTGCTGTCCTCCCCAGGATGCTGAGTGCAGAGTCTGTGTAGCCCAACCCAGGAAACAGCACAAAGAGCAGGGCAAGTAAGTTGTGTGTTGCCAAGCTGCATCCTGGCACCACCATGGGAAAGGGGAGCAGGTCCTGGGAGCCAAAAGGAGCACAGCTCAGATGGGATGACATCTCACAGTGTGGCTCTGGAACAGGATGTTCCTCGTGGTGTCCTGTGGCTGGGATGGTGGAGGAGTCAAGGATGGAGAGGTCCACATCAACAGAGGCTCATTCCACCATGTCCAGGCAGTCTGGAAGAGGCACTGAGGACCAAGAGAGTGTTAGTGCAGCAGAAATGGCCTTGGGCACAGCAAGAGGTGACCAGCAGCAGATCATGGACAAGGCTCACATCACAGAGGTGCAGAGATCTGCCTGTCCCTGGGCACGAGTGATGAAACACCAGCTCCTCCTCACGCTTGTTCTGTGCTCCAGTTTCATTCTCAAGACATTGGCAGGTGGCTGTAATCCTTATTTCTGACTTTGTTCCCTCCTCTATTTCCATAATAAAGTCCCTGATGTTACAGTTGTACTTGTCTCTGTGTTTTGTGTTATTGTCCTGAGACTTCAGCCACGTGCTGCCTGCCCCTGGCATGGCACTCCTTGCAAACTGGGGATCTTTGTGCTCCAGTGCCTTGCAGGGCCCTCCTGAGGTGTGCCCAGAGGGCTGTGTCATGTTACAGAGAAAACCTGCAGCACAGACAGGCACCCAGCCCAAGGCTCCTAGGAGCAATGGAGATGCAGCTTTTTAATTTATTTTTGCCTTACAAAATGCCTGTGAGCCTGTGGATGTGGAATATTAGCATGATTTTCCCCAGGGATGGATAAAGCTCAGTTAATGTTAACTCCATCTTCAGTATTTCCTTCATTCTGGAATGGAATTGATTCCTGTCACTGAGGGAAGTCAGTGCATAAAGAATGGGACATTTTTCCCCGAACTTCGAGATCCCATTCAGTGTAATGGATGAAAACCAAATATACACTGCCAGGCTTGCCTTTGACAAAATACAGGCAATCCTTTTTCTTCTTATTTTTTAATTTTTTTCCCCCCTGCCTGCAGCCAGAGCATAGTTAGTTATCTATGCTGGTGATTAAAATCCTGGAGAGAAGGAGAAATGCAGAATTGCTGTGTTTTGCCCTGAAGAATTTGGAGAGGATTCTTTTCATTGTATTAAATTGTATTATCCTGCTTTCACACACACAGTCAGTCTGCTGACTCCAGTGGCTTTGGGAAGCAGCTTTCACCCTGTGTTCCTGTGTGCCAGGAGAAGTGCTTGCCCATATCATTGCCACATGTAAGAAATGCTGAAGCAAGTGATCCTTAGGATCATCCCTAGGATGATTAAAGTAATTCAGAATTTGCTGCACAAATCCTTAATGACTCTGCTTTATGACATCACAGTTATTCTAGCAGTACTATTTTTTTTTTTTTTAATTTTTTTTTAAGAAATGGGGTATATTCTTTTCCCAAGCAGACAGGGACTCCAGGTAGCCTTTATCCTGGCAGGTGGGATGTATCTTGTTTGAGCAGCACTCTGAGCTGCACCTTTATCTTCCTGCTGTGGACATAGTGTAATAAATGATGGTACACTAGATAGCTGTAGTACTTGAAATAAGCACTGCAGTAAAATTTCTACAGTACAGAGCTCTGGAAAGGGGATTATTGGACACAGGGCAGCATCTCTGCCTTGACTACACTGGGACCTTCCAGTTTTTATTTTTCTGTCAGAGTAAGAAATGCATTTTTAAGGGAAAGCTGAGATTCCATCAAATAGTTTGAATTTAGCAACAAAGCCCTACATTTGTAATATCCTCTCAATGAGAAGCTGAAAGGATCTGGTAAATCTTGTGCAAATTAATTTGTAAAATTGCAATGACTGTGACAAGTGTGCTGAAGCAGACAGAAAATGAACAAGGGGCTACCTTATGCCCAAATAGCAAAAGATTATAGATAGAATAACCTTGTATCAAACAACAGCTCTGTGTTTATAAAAGGTAAAACTGTGCTCTCTTGCTAGGAGATGAACCCAAACAAAGAAAAGATAATTCACTAATGGTGTGGTGGTTTTCTTTTTCTTTCCCAAGGTTTGGATCATCCACACAGCCTGTCTTACAAACTGGAACTGGGATCAGACCAGGAGATACCATCTGACTGGTACCCATTTGCTACTGTCCAGTTTGTTGTCCATGACACCTGTGCCTCAGGAACAGAAGTCAAGTCCCTGGGCATAGAGAGCGATCTGCAGCCCCAGAAACACGTGGTTCAGAAAGCTTTTTACAGTTGCCAGGTATTCTCAGAGCTATGCTTTCCATGTTTTCCTCCTCTTCTCCCTCCCTGCTCCCCCAAACAGTATTTGAAAAGCAAATATGCTTTCTATTCAAAACATATCTTGCGTGTACTTTTGATAATGACTTTGAGCAAAAGAATCATTAAATAATAATTCCTTGTCTGATCAAAGATGAGACTGAAAAATAGAACTGTGAATGCAGCTTTTTTTTTCTCCTCATTTAAGCTATTTTTGGGAGTAGTGGTTTTGAAATCTGTTGGGTCTGGAAATATTTTGATTTTGTGTCAAAGCTTTTTTTCATGCTGTTGCTGCAGTTCACACTTTCCGTGTCCAATTATTTGCTAACTCTACCTGCTGTTTTTTGTTTTCTACCTGCAGGTTGAAATTGAAAAGAAGTGGATTAGGCTTGATGGAGAAGACCCAGATAAGGCTGGCAACTGCCTAATGCAATGAAAGAGGACAGGAGGCACTGTCACAGGATATTAGTAGGAATCAATTTCCATAGGAAATTCTATTGTTAGAAGAAGGGCAGTGACCTAGTTTAGGGTAAACACGGTCATTGAACTTTTTTTTTAGTGCTTATGGGTTTGAGTCTGCAAATCAGTGCTCATTGGACTGGCCTGCATTCAAGTAAACTTCCTGTCATGGGAGTCCTGGTATGAGTGAGGTCTCCTTGTCAGAGCAGCAGGATGTGAGCACTTCACTGACTGATTCTAAGGTATTGTTTTCCTGTTGTGTGACTGGGGAATGATCTCATACTCCCTACTGAGACCCAATGGCACTACTCAAAAGGTTCATGTCACTTGGACATTTAATATTTGGTAATAAAAACTTCCAGAGTGCTCATGATCTATCAGCGCCTGTGCAAGGTCCAGAAGGACCAATTACATTTTTTAGTGCTGTTTGAAAACTAAAGTCCCTCATGTTTTGGCTCCCCTTGATGTATGTGTGTAGAACAAGTCCAAATAATATTCTCAACAAGAGCCTTAATATTAGAATGAGTTGGAAATTGGGTGATTTCATTGAGAAAAAGGGTCCTCTGCAATAATACTCTTTATTCTTCTGTGGCTGCAACTGTTCCCTCCTCAGCACTTTTTAGGTTCACTCAAAGTAACCTCTTGGGCAAAAAACCCCATATGGCAGATGAGATTGAAGCTTCTGTGCCAGCATTAGACAGTTCCTTTTCACTGCTGCAGCAAGTGAGATAAGGGGTGGATTCTCAGTGAGTGTAAATCAGTCCAGGGCCATTTCATCTGATGAGGCTTGGAGAATTCACACCAGAGGAGGCTTTCCCCCACAAGCTGGAGAAAAGACTGGTTGCTGCTGTTTGCTCTGTGTCTCCTTTAGGATGCAAGTTCCAGATGTTGGTATGGAAACTGCAGGAGCTGTAGCTTTGAGTAACTTTTAAGACATGCATGGAAAGTGAGATGTTTTCATGCTCCTGGCTCTGAAGGCATTTTCCATGGGGAAGTAATGCAGGAATGGACTGTCACAAGAGACACGAAGCTGAGATGCTTCATCAGGCAGCCTGAGCTACTAATCACTAATGTCAATGTGTTAATTGTGTTTTCCACAAACAATTGGCCTTTAGGGAAAGGTTTTAATACTTCCCTTCAACCATTATCCCCTTTGCCATTTTCTGCAGGCTGTAATTCCATGTCTGAAACTTTAAAAATGCTCATGATACCCTTTTTTTTTTTTTTTTTGGGCTGCAGTTTTCTTAAAATTAGCCTTACTTCAAACTAAAATTAGTGGAGAACAAAAATATAGGAATGCACTGCCTCACTTTATATTTTGTATAGCTTGTAACTGTTTATATGAACACTGTGTAAAAATACAGATAAATGGTATTCCCCAAAAGTAGAAATATGTGGGATATACACAGAGAAAATTACCAGTCTGAAGAAACAGAAGACCATAATATGAACCTAGTTCATCACAATAAACTTTTCCCCCCATCCAGAATCTGAGAATGAAATGGGTAATAGGTTCTACAGTAAGTCCTGAGGGCAGGTTTTTTATGGGTATTGCATTGCCAAAACCCCAAATAGACTATTATGGTATTTGGGCTTCTCTATATATCCCTTTTTATTAGCAGATTATATTGTTATAAATCTAAGCAAGCGTTGGACTACAGTAGTGATCCAAATATGTCTCAGCTGTTGCCTCCTCTGTTTGTGTTTTGACTTGAGAAGCCATTAGCACCTTCAAGTCATGTTTGGTGTGTTTTATTAATATTTAATTTTGGTTTGTATTCTGCTCAGCTGAACTAAGGGGCACAGTGTTGCCACCAGGGCAAAGTGTTTATACTTGGTGACGTGGCAAGCTCTGCAGTTTGCTGAAGTCCATGGTTGTACTACAGCTACAATATTTATTAACCTCTTTGCTCAGTGAGGTAGAGGAAGCAAAATATGCATTGCAATTACCTGCAGTTACCTTTGTCTGGGGCTGAATTGTTTTCATTGGCATTAAACAGCTAATTCAGTAAACCTGTTAACAGTGGTTGCTCTCCAGAGCCTATCTCACCCAGCTGGCCCCTATCTTTCTGTTTTTAAGAAGGAGGAACCTGAATATCTCCATTCCATCTCTCTTTCATCTTAGGATCTCTATCCACAGCACTCCCCTCCTGGGCATTGGGTACCTGGTGGTGTTACAGGTCCTGCAGAAGCTGTGGCTGCTGCTGTGCTCTCAGGTGTCTGCTGTGTCTCAGGATGTGTTTAAGGAGCCTGTGTAGTGTTGACCCTTCAAGATACAAGCTACTGTTTGCAGTGAGTGGCTTCAATAATGAATGACAACCTTATAAGTCGCCGTTCCTTCTAAAGAATTGTATTAAGGCGTTATGGTGCAAATGATCATTCAGACTTACTGAACTCAATAGCAAAAAAAGGTCAAGCTACACCTTTATCTGTGTTGCAAACCCCTGGATTTTCATTTGAGGCTTGTAAGACTTGTGATTAACTTTAATCAGAATTGGATCAGGATAACAGGGAATTAACTCCACAGAAATACTGCTACACTGAAACAAAGTTACTCTGTTTAATACATGGCTTTCGGTTTAAACTTGACAATTAGTGCAGCCTGAGATTGAATAATTGCCCTGTTCAGTCTCACACTGATGTTCATATGCCTTGATGTCAGAATATTTAAAAATAGGCTGCAGTTTAATGAAAGAAAATTTGGGTTGTCTGACTTTTTTCCCCTGACATCAAATTCTAACTTCCTATTATATTGCAACATGCCAAACCAGAAATAACCAGGCTTCTCCTTTCTTCTGTATTGTCTTGAGCATAACTTACTGACCAAATATTCTTAACTTTAAGACTCATTGCTAACATTTCCCATGAATGTTAGCTGCAGTTTTCTTAAAATTAGCCTTACTACTGGTAGTATCAGCAGCTGATACTGATCAAACATATGGGCTCTGAATTCTTTAGAAATCTCAGCTACAAGTAGTCTAATTGTAATTTTGGGAAGGGCAATGGAGATGAGGAACAGTTGCTACAAGCTGTTGTGATGCATAAGCAGTGTCCAGCTAGCAGAAGGACTGGAGCTTTAAATAACCCATGAGGTATTGGCATCATGTGAGGAGCCAGGTTTCACACGTGTCTGATCTCTGCTTCCCGCAGCGTGTGCCTGCCGCCACTGAAATGCTTCCAACTGCCTGGGTCAGTTTAGATGCTGACATTTCACTAACATTTACTTCAGGGCAGTGTTTAGATGTTATCTGTGTTTCCTTCACAAAGGACCAGCAGGGTTTGGGAGATTTGTATTTAAAACAGAAATCAATGAGAACAACTATTTTTATAGTGTGTTTGCCTTACAAAGTGTCGTATTTGCTGAAACCGACAAACTTTATCTTTGCATTCATCTTTCCCATACTAATTGTATTACTCCAGGTAAATGGTACTTGATGTAATTTTGGATTCAAACACCCATTGAAGTCATTGGAAGTCTTTTAACTGATAAAATGAGATCATCAAAGTCTCTAAGAATAAAAGAGAGGTAAAAAAAAAAAAGAAGAAAGAAATAGTGGTAATGGTCTGTAGATGATTTTTTATGTCAGTAAGTAAGAAACCTGCAATGTCTGCTTATTCCAACCAGAAGAGAGCACAAAGGGTAAGAAAAGTACTGGATGCCACAGCTGAAGCTTTGCAGAGATGGGGAACAATGGTTCTGTTGCTCCTGGGTAGAAACTCTCAAGAAATGAGCATGATGATGCACTCCATTGAGCTTGATACCAAGCCACTGTCATCCTTATGCTCCTGGCTTTGTTTTCCTCCAGATTCTGTATTAATTGTCCAAAAGCCTTTTACATCTGAACACATGTTTTCACATGTTACTTTTGGTTGTGTTTATTTTACCTGGCAGACTTCTTCGCTGCGGTATTGGTGTCTATACTCCTGTTTTGCATTTATTTGTCTTTTTGTTACTTAACACAGTAACTAACTGCTGCAGTTAGTAGTTCTTAGCAATAATTTTGATAATTCTGAAGCAGTGCTGTTACTCCTAATGGAAACTATAATTTTATTTGGGTCTTTTGTCAGTATAAGTGCAAAGAGATCATGCTGATAATCTTGTAATAACATTTTGTAGATTGCATATTGATTAAAAAAATAAAGTTGTATTTCAAACTAGCAGTTTCTTGTCCCCTTACTAGAAATGTATCAAGCTAGTTTTGCAATTACTGTAATTAACTGGTTGATCTTGATCATCAGGTATTGCAGCTCATAAGAAAGAACAGTTCTAGTCTGTGAGTGGGGAATATCACTCAGATAAAGCTGGTAGCAGAAAGCTCAGGGATGCACTAGATTACATTTATCATAGAACAGTTTGGGGTGGAAGGAACCTTGCAGATCATCCAGTTCCAATCTCCCTGCCATGCATAGGGACACTTTTCCCTACACCAGGTTGTGCAACATCCCAGCCAACCATGAACACTTCCAGGGATGGGGCATTCACAGCTTCTCTGGGCAACCTGTGCCAGTGCCTCACCACCCTCCCAGTAAAGAACTTCTTCCTTACATCTAATCCAAACCTGCCCTCTTTCAATTTAAAAGATTCTTCCTTGTCCTAGCACTAACTGCTCTTGTCACAGCTTTTTGTAGCCCCTTTTAGGTGCTGTAAGGTCTCCCTGGATCCTTTTTCTCCTCCAGGGGGAACAGCCCCAGCTCTCCCAGCCTGTCCTTGCAAGAGAGCTGCTCCAGCCCTCTGAGCATCTCCATGGCCACATTCTGAACTTGCTCCAGCAGCTCCATGTCCGTCTTGTGCTGGGGCTCCCAGAGCTGGATGCAGCACTCTGGGGGGTTCTCACAATGATTTATGGCAGACCCTTTTCTGCCTTATTTCCTAGCAGTACTAACCCAAAGAATGCCGTGGTTTTTCCTGTTGAGTGCTCCCTCTGGTCTCTCTGGGATATTTGAATATAATGTAGTGACAACTGTTTAAGACTTTCA